CAGATGTTCATGAAAATTGTAGCAACTTCTGGAAAACACATTTTGATAGTAAATTCTTACACATGCATATTTTAGATGAAACATTCCATATGATCACTGTAGTATATTTGCATGACTGCCTTTTAATTGCAGATTGCTCATGATATCAGTTACTGAACTAATTTGCAATATCTGACACACTGGAATATTTTAGAATTCAGAAGGCTATAAGTTATAATTTCAGACATGGAATGTATTCTTTATTCACTGCCTTTTAAAACTGTTTAATGTGTATATATTATTATATTTCAAAAAGATTCATAAATTCATGTGTAAAAAATTGATGATAAGCTTATTTCTTGCAAATCAGATATTCACAAGCACACAGTACCCACTGCTTATTAAAATCACTGCTGTTCCAAATATATTTAAGTTTATTAAGAGGCTGATTTTAATACATGGTGATTTGTGTATCGCAAACTGTGATATCAGTTTTAAACTTATCTACTAAAATAGTAACTAACTACTAATTAAATGATTAGTCCTAAAATAATTAGAAATTAATGCTAAATTTTTTAACACAATTTTGAAATTTAATTTTTAACTTTTTGCAAAAATTTTTTATATCACTTTCTTTATGAAATTTTATCTTTCACAGACAATTCGTATTGTTCATAAACAGTTTTCCAATTATACTCTTAAATTTATAAACTGCTGGTTGCTTTTTTTGATAGCACCTTTCAGGTAAAGTTTTTTTTTTTTTTTTTTTTTTTTTTTGTAATTGGCAGTACTTTTCTAGATTTGATTAAGGCTGGTATATCACTTTTACCATCAGTTTCTGCAATTCTTTTAACACTTTCTATAATATTATAGTCAGGTTTTTTACACATGTTGTCTCAGTATTTTCATCAGTTGGCATATAGTCTAATGAATCTTCATAGATGGTGTTTGAAACATTACTACAGTTTGAAATTTTTCCAAGGGTTTCTCTCACACAAGTAAATTTTTCTAAAACAATTTTTATGTTTTAAGAGATTAATCCTCAACATAGAATAGAATCTAGCAAAGGTATTGATCTATGTATGTACTTTGAAGTGATACTACATTTTCACAAAATTCAGTTCTGTTTATCAGTTTTTGAACAAGTTTTCTGTAATGATATTTGAAAGGTTTTGTAATAAGACCCTGATCTAAGAGCTTAACGTTAGAAGTTGTATTTACTGGAAGAGATGCCAATGTTTTTCAGAAAGATCAGAAATGCATATGCTGCACAATTATCTATTTAATAAAGATTTTTTTCCAGTTTACTGTATCATTTTAAAAGAAAATCAGTAAAAATACTACTTTCCATCCATGTTACTATGATAAGTTTGTCAGGACTTGTATGTCTTTTTACTTGCTTTGGAAACATGCTATGTCCTGAATAGGAACAGGGAGATTACTAAAGCTGTGTTCAAGTATTGTGGAATAGACGACACAAGCAAGAGGGTAATTGCACCCTTTATCTTGTTACTTACAGGTGCTCCGTACTTCAGGATACAGAGACAACCCCTTGTGGTTTGACGTAAAAATATCAAACTCTAATAAAGCTAACTTTGAATAGTATACAATGCCCTAACACTAAGACTGGCCTTTTTAAAGTTACGTAGGTAGTACGCAACTGCTGAAACTACAATACATTTAAATATCAGAGGACTAACCTCTGGCCTTAAAGGAAAGCCAGCAACTGATTGAAAACTCGTAAGAATGCAGAGTGGCCAAGGCGGCTTCACTTACTCTCTCTCTCTAACTCTTGGCAAAAAGCCACAACTTAAATTACTTGGTCAGCTTAGCAGGTACATTTGCAATAAAACAAGTTAAGCATAAATCTGAGTCGGAAGTGGAAAATATGGAAATAAGAAAGTAAAGTTTTAAAATAAAATAAACGTTAGTAAAACTTAAAATCCTTACAAGTTGAGATACATTCTTGACCTCTTTCATATATTGAGCACTTTAAAAATATTAATGTATATTCTGGTAATGCTGTGTAACAGTCTAGATTAATCTGCATTATAATCTTGTTATTGTTGTGACTTATCTCACTTGTCTGAGAGTAACAACAGCACAAAACCACGAAATTCATCGTGGCAAGGGGCACAAGAGTGCGCCTGTTGTTGGCGAAAGCCTTGAGCACCATACAGGTGACTGCTCTTCCACCCCCAAGTTTGATGGAGAGCATCCTGGGAGTATGGGTCCAAGGGTCTCCCACTTCTCTTTCTCTATCACCAACCGTTTGGGCTAGCACATATGTAGAGTGCACCCATGCTGCACATACACTATGCATTTACTAACATCCAAGCCTTCTCTGGGATTCGAGCTCAGGCCCATCAGTACAGTAGTCAGCATTGCTAACCACTATCCCAGTTGAGCAGCATTATAATTTTAATTAAAATTTGTCTGTATTTTAGTATAGTAGGCCATGTAAAATATCTTTTATCCAGTTATCAACTGCATAATGATCTACTTCTACTTTCTCATCACGCAGAACCTGTGAACATATATCAATTGATACAAAATTCTTTCCTAGCATTTTAGCAAATTCTACAGCTTTTATAATGAAAATCGCTCTAAAAAAGAATGTTTTAAAGTTTCATAGCTTGAAACCATTCTAGGAATAGTTTGTGTCTGTCAAATTTCCATTTTTTTGTGTTTCCTGAAGACATTTGCATTTTTTATTAGTTCCTTATCAATTAAAATTATTTATTTAAGTAGACTGCACAATAGTGTTTGGGAAATTCCTATTTAAGTCTTTCTGACATGCAAGACCCAAAGGAAACAGAAAAGATGCTCTTTTTCCGGTGATTTATTCAGTTTGAAAACTCATGTTTCCAGCCAGTAGAAAGATCACAATTTTTCTGTTTAGATGATTTTTCACTCCATGATTACAGGCATGAACAATGCTTTGTTTGCTTTTTTTTTACATTTTAAAAACTGTTAATATACAGTAACACTAAAAAGTATTTCATGAGCTCTTTTGAAAACTCTCTGTGAGCATAATGTGCCCAATTCCAAAGGAAATATTTTTGGAAACTTTAACAATGGAATGCAGAAATTGCATTTCCACCTCCTATTAGGTATTTTGAAGAAACACTCACTCATTTACAATGCCTCTAGAGCAGTGGTTCCCAAACTTTTTAACTTGTAGAGCCCTTTTTAGGAATAATTTCTATGGCAGAGTCTCCTGGGCCTATCCCTGTATATTTCAAGGTAATAAAATGGTATTTAGGAGTAACGTTACAGATATCAGAAGACAAGGGAGATGGTAAGGTATTGTAAAGTAATGGACTATCTATCTAAAGTTGTGTAATGTCCGTGCAGTGTTTTTTAAATTTAGGATAATATCAAAGTTTATTTTTAAGTAGTACTTATATACATGATATGATCAAATTTTGTCTGCATCTAAAAGTTCATTCAAGGTCCAATAAATCAAACTTTTTGCATAAAAACAGGTTATATTATTGGTAACAGCAATATTAAAAACGTCCATAGAATAAATTCATTTCTCATTACTCAGCTTTACATTATTCATTATGAAAGTCATTTTGAATTTAATTATACTAAACAGAGTGCAACAGTATGTAACATAAGGTAATGTACATGCATTAATGAGAGACATGCGAGTGCAATTTTCTTATTTTAGGTTCTATTATTTTTAATGGTAGAGATGAATGTCTGGTTCTGCATTTACGCAGCTTATATATTTTGTTTGTTACTTTTATAAGTGGAGGATCCAATTTCATACAGGCATGTATGGCAGAAATATGAATTTCACTTTCTCAAACAAGTTTTCAATTCATCTTATAAATGCACCCAAATCTTACATAACAGTAATTTTGAAATTAATAGTGCAGTATAATCAAGTGTCGTCTGCTGAAGAAAGTTCAAATCAGTATGACAAATTTCCCTTCATGATATAATTTCCAGTTTTCTTATTTTGATTCTACTGTGCTCTTAACTTTTTATTTCATTCAATTTGAATTTATTTTATTTTCCTGGAATGGCCGCGGAACCTCTGACAAATGGACGGATTGGGAATTGCTGCTCTAGGGGATTGTTTAGATAAAGAAATTCTGCTCTTCTGAAGTCTTATTATAAAGAGCTCATTATATTGAACCATTGCATACTTGAATGACAGAAAAGTTGCGGTTTGCAGAATCAGTTTTTTACCCATTTCAGTTTTATAAGTAGCAGGATATCTATTGATTAGTATATATTTGTTTTTGTTCCTGGACATTTGAATGCAACAAGTGGCTCAATTAGTGAGTTTAATTAGTGTCAGGTACTATATATGGTGATATGCACAGTTGAAACATTGTATAAAGTCGTACCTTTTGAAATGTTCATTCTTACATGGATAGATAACTTTTGCACGTCATTGTATAAATAAGTAACAGAAGTCCAAAAGAGAAGCATAACTTTTGGGAAATTTAAATATCAAAATTTACTATTCTGAAATTTAAGACTTTTTAGTGGCTTAGTAATTAAAACTGCTGAACTTTTGTTTCTTCATGTATAACATAGAGTGTAGTTTTAATTTTAAAATCCCTTCTAATATCCACTGTGTATTTTGCCAAATTAATTAACTCGCAAAAAGACCACCTAGGCACACAAATTTTAATGAGATATTTGCTAATACTTTTAGCTGTTATGTTATAAAGAACCTAGCAGCGTTTTCTATTTTCCATCACTTAAAAAATAATTAGTGGTTAAATTGTAGAACAGCTGTACTATGAAAACAGTATTAATTCTACTACTGAAAATTTACAGTATTAAAATAAATTTTTAGGTGCAGATAATTGCTTAATATGTAAACTAATTATCCAATTTGTTAATCATATTGTAGATTTTGTAATATTATACATAAAATCTGAACTGAATAATTTACCTAACTATTGCATTTGAGAGATTTACATATATGACCTTTTATTGCTAATTACATTCATTAAGACGTTTTAGCTGTGTCACAAATAACAGTCATAAAATAACACTTAAATGAATTTTTTATTCTTAAAAAATTATGTAAATTTACAGTGCATTAAACATAAAAAATTACAAATAAATCACAATATAATTTTAATAATGTAGTACAAGATAACATCATGAACAAAACTGAAAACACATATACTTGCTCTGTTTAATATACATTATCCTCAATCTATTTCTTTAAAAAAAAAAAAAAAAAAAAAAAACTTTACTATATACATGACTTCTCTATTTTTTCTGTTAAGACACTGACACATTTTCTGCTTAAAGCACTTAATAAATGAGATGGTAATTTTTCAATTTTACCATTTTGCAGTAATGTTTCTACCATTTGGTTCAATATTTCTTCTTCATTTTTAGAAATTTAATGCAACAGAAATTAAATTTGTATAAGCAAATAACATTGAAATTCATTCTATATATTAATTATTTCATTATAAAAATTAAAAAAAAAAAAAACTGATGTTTGGTATGATAAAAAAACGAAATTGGTTATAGCAAATCTTTGGTGTGTTTAATTTTGTTTTTCTAAATAGTATTTTTGTTATTTAGTTTTAATTAATTTATATCTGTTAAATAAAAATTTTTAAACCTCTTTTTGATTTCTAACATTTTTACTACGATTTACAAGGGTTGGACAAAATATGGAAACACCTTTAAAAAAACATGTTTCTTTGCTTAATATGTGTAGGAAACCCGTTGGCATCCAAAACAGCTTGCAGTCTTCTCGGAATTGATAAATACAGTTTCCTGGATGTTTTGCCAAGGGAAATTATACCATTCTTTCTCTGCAAATGGTGGCAAGTTCAATAACGATGGTGGCGGTAGATAACGAGAACGCACTTTCCGTTCCATGTAGACCACAAGGTTCGATAATATTCAGGTCTGGGACTGTGGTGGCCAGGGAATGGGACAACTCATCCTGTGCTCAGAAAACCATTCCTGGACATGTGAGCTGTGTTGAAAAGGGCTTTGGGTCGTCTTGGAAGACACCATCACCATTGGGGGAAAAAGTTTGTACCATGGGATGAACTGATCGGCCAAAATGTCACATAAGTCTTGGCAGTCAGTGCCCTGACACAGTTATCATGGGCTAGCAGAGAACCACGATATGGCTGCCCAAACCATAACAAACCCCTGCCATTTTCACTCTTGGCAACAAGCAGTCTGTATATAGGCTTGAGATGGCGTTCTCCACGTAAACTCGGCCAAAAGTGGGAACAATGTGAAAGAAGACTCTCAGTCCATTACTCGCTTCCACTGCTCCATAGTCCGGCTTTATGCTTAAACACCACCTTTTCCTGTTACGGCATTCGCATCACTGATGAGTGGCTCTCAATTGCAGCAGGCCACAATCTCTGTTTATGAAGCTCTCTTCTAATTTTTGGTACTCACAGGGTTGGTAACACACATTATTTCACAGTAACTTGTGCAGCTGTGGTCTTCTTTTTTCGTCACAATTGCCCTTAATGATGTCTGTTACGATCACTCAGGACCACTTTCTCCGCGCTGTGATTAGCAATGATGTTTTCCGCTTTTCAAATATGCGGAATAAATCTTCGATACAGTACCTCTTGAAACACTAAACACCTCGGCTACCTTGCTTACGGAAGCACCTACCATACGTGCTCCAACAATATGCCCACGTTCGAAGTCTGTTAACTGAATAATGCAATGACTGAATAATGCATAATGCAATGACAACCTCACATAACAGTACTCTGACAACAACTGAACTGTTTAGCACATTTACGAAGTTGTATAGGTGGCATCAGTAGTCAAAAACGCCAGCGCCTCCTACATATTTCATTAAAATCAATCTTTCTTTTCAAACATGCATTTCACAAGGTGTTTCCATATTTTTGTCCATCCACTGTAGTTAAGTGGCTGAAAATGACAATCATTTGGTGAAAAACTGTTTTCATAAAAATAATTCTTACAACATGGTTAATTCAAACTAAATTAAATGAAATCGCTGCTTCAGTTCTGAAGCAAGATATGTACAGTACAAAGTCCGTAATCCGGACTCGTCGGGACTTCAGCGATTAGGGGTTTCATTAATTTAAATCTGGTAAGATGGCATGCAGAAATTATACAATTAAAAATATGAAAACCATAATTTATGAAATAAAGAGCAATTATGATCTGAATGGCATCAAAATTTACAAAAAAAAAAAAAAAAAAAAAAAAAAAAAAAAAAACTTAATATTATTTGTTTACTTTATTAAACATTTCTTTCAATGTAAGTTGTTTAAGTTGCTTCATTTTTTGTGCAAATACTTTCTCTTTAATTTTCTCTTCTATAAACAGACATAATTTCTTGTTCAGTTACAAAGTTCCACAGTTCAAATCCTGTAATGTCCATGTCGAGAATACCGACTAACTTGTCAATCGAAATTTTTTCATTTTCAATAATCTCTCTGTCACTTCCTTCATTATCAGAAGCACACATTTGTAAACACTTTACACGCATACATAGCGGGCATGCGCATCTAACGCGCATGCGTAAGTTTGTGGCTTTGAGGTCTGGATTATAGATCATTCCAGATAATGGATGTCCGGATTACGGACTTTATGCTGTATATGTAACCCCTTTTATGTAAAAATATTTTATACTATGTTAAGTCATAAGGAATACAAACCAATGTTTTCTGTTTTACAGAACACATTTACATTGGAAGCTTTTTTACTCAATACTTAAATCATACGTATAATTTCCACATGTTACCACCATTGTATAGAATACTGAAAACTGATTATAAAAGTATGAAACAATTCATATTTTACACATTTTCTAGACATTCTATACAATTAAAGTGACAAAGAATAAAACTTCTCTTATGAAATTTCTAATGTCATGCGACTTTCAACACTCGCTTTAGAATGAGAATCCTCTATCTACATTTCAGTCTTTATTCACAAATGATGAAATATTTTACTTAGAGTTTGTTCAACAAAGCAATTATGCTGTATGAAAATAGAAGAGCACTGCATAGTGAAAGGAATCATGGCATGTTGATATATTATGATGGACTATCTAATGTGTGAGCCAATGTTGCAAAAAGCAGTGTTTTTCCTAACTCAAACTACTTACTAAAAGTTAAAGGCAGCTAAAAGAACTATACCTAGAGGAAGGGTAAAGCTTTTTAATCCTTACTTTACTCATGATTCGCCGGTTTTGCAGCCTTTGCTCCAGAAGAGAGAGAACCTGCGACTCGAAAAACATAATACAGAGCAAAACCGACAGAGATGAACAAAGTCAATGCAGAAATAAAAAGAACTTATGTGCTGCTTAAGAGGAAAAAATGGATGGATATATGTGAGCGACTTGATGCTAGATCATCTGACACGAAATTGTGGAAATTGATCAAGAATATTTGCAGTGAATAACCTCGGATAAAGAGATATAATGCTATCTTAGATACGGATGGCAACATCCCTATGGACGAAAAAGCTGCGGCTGATCTCCTTGGGGCACATTACCAGGAGATAAGTGAGATGACTTTTACAGAAGTTGATAAGAAAGTGAGAAAAAGGTCTCGAGATCTTGCACATGGATGTCGTAGTGCTGTCTCGGGGAAATCCCCTTTTCTTTAAATCCTTCTCCATGCATGAATTGGAGATGGCCCTTGAGGATCTTGACTTACTAAAAGACTTACAAAAACTCCTGGACCTGATGGTATCCATAGCCAGATGATTAGGCATCTTGGCACTCATGCAAAAAAGAAATTTCTGAATATAGTAAATCAATCTTGCCTTCCTAAAGAGTGGAAAAGAGTCACAATTATACCTGTTGAGAAACCTGGCCAAACCAATGGATCTCCTGGGAGCTTCAGACCCATTGCCCTAACCAGCATTGATGGTTGCTCTTCCTCCTGGATACCCTACCTCCTACAAAAAGAACAATATGGTTTCAGAAGAGATCATAACACCACTGATCAAATGGTTTATCTCAGCCAGAAGATTAGAAATGCCCAAAACAAGCGACCTGCCAATCATACTGCGGTTGCTTTTCTAAATTTATCAAATTCATTTGACCGTGTCTGGAAACATAAACTAATTATTAAACTCTACGAAGACTTTGGCATCAGGGGTAAATCCTTGGCCTGGATCGCAGATTTCTTAAGAAATAGACTGATAAAAGTAAAACTTAATTCCACTATTTCAAACACTTTTAAAATTAACCAAGACGTCACCCAGGGTTCTGTGTTGAGCCCAATTCTTTTTCTGCCTGTATTTGGCTGGAATTGAGAAGATTATATCAAGAAGATGTGAGGTTGCGGATGATACTACAATTTGCGGACGATATTGCCCTTTGGAGCTCTGGCCCAGATGTGAGTTTCAATTGAGACCAATATAAATTTTATCCTTGAAGAAGTGTGGAAATTCTCGAAAGACCACAAATTGAGTTTTAATCCAACTAAATCTATTGTTAGTTTTTTTACCACCAATAAGAAGATTTATAATTATCATCCAAAGGTTTTTAGGAATAATTTGCCTCTTACATATGACAAACATCCCAAATATTTGGGCTTCGTTCTCGATCCAGAGATCACTAGTAACAAACATGTGGATGCGCTGGTTTTTAAAGGCAGAAAACGCCTAAACATTCTGAAGTATATCTCAGGATGTGATTGGGGAGCCGATGCTTGCACTTTGAAAACTACTTACTCAGCTATCATACGACCTATTTTGGAATACGGTTTCCCCGTTTACTGTTGTGCCTCTACCAACCTCTAGAAATTGGAAAAAGTCTAACTCAGTGCTTCTCGCATTATAACTGGCTTGCGCAACAGTTGCCCGAATAAAATTACGTTGTATGAAACAGACCTTCAACCCCTCAGTCTAAGAAGAAATGCAGGCCTCGTAAAATATTATAATAAACTTCTCAGTTACGGCTCACAGAATAGAACTTCAGAATTTCTGCAGCAATGGAGTAATAACCAAAGACTTAAGAAAAATAGTCCACTTAGTCAAATTGAGTATGCTAGTATAATTGACCGTAATGTTGAGCAGCATTCCTTGAAACAATGTTTAGATCCGTCTGAGGGACTCCCTGGAGTCGGGTTCCATGTGGAACTTTCGTCTCGAGTTTCTAAGAAAAATGATATTCCGGCCCTGTTACGACAATCTGCCTTGGAAACTATACATGCAATTCCTGCTGAAGCTACCCTCATCTATACTGATGGGGAGTAAAAGCGAGGACTCTCGCTCTGGTAGTGATGTTGTCATTAAATGCACAAATGGAAATATTGTTAAAATAAAGAAAAGAAATTCTGACTTCAGTTCGGTTTTTAAGAGTGAGCTTATAGCTATCGAAGAGGGACTAAATGCTGTTTTGTACTTTACAGATCTTAAGGCAGTATGGATTTTGTCCGACAGTCGTAGTGCTATCAAATATCTTTCAAACTGGCAAAGAGTTGGTGATAGGGCTGGAGCCGCAATTCTTAGCAAACTTAGGCAGGTCTTGTCACTCTGTGAAGTGCATCTTCAGTGGATTCCTTCCCATGTTGATATATGGGGGAATGAAATGGCAGACATTCTGGCGAAGGAGGCTTCTGAAGAACCTTTGCCAATTATCAATTCACTGACATATCTTGAACAGCATTCCATTAGAAGACATGCTGACAGGCAAATTTGGCTCGTTCCCCCGAGTCATCCCTGGTATCAAGCTGATTGTCCTGGAAGATCCCTTTGCTATGGATGCGAAAGATGTGTTCAGACAACACTTTCCCGATTCTTCAGTGGGCACCTGAGGGGACTTACTTTTGAGAGTGGTATCAAGATGCACCCAATTTGTTCTAAGTGTCACAATGCACCCACATCACCAGCACATATCCTTGAAAGCCTGGAGTTGTCTCTTGTGGACCTTTACGGGTCTCCTAAGCTTGTTTTCGATTTTTTAAAGGTGAATGGACTCGTGGGCCTCGCCTAGTATATTCCTAGGCATGGAGATTAGTAACAACAACAAAATATCAAAGTGCTTGAAGTCTACCTTGTTTCAAAGCATATTTTGTTTGAAGAAGTATCTATTTGTGAAAATTTGTAGGTTGTTATGTAATTTTATGGAAGTACAGAAATAAGCATCTATAACTGTCAGAAATTAAAAATTCACATGCATCAATAAATGCATAAAGTTTCCTTAGAAGATATTAAGCCTAGGTTATTTTCCCTATTTTAAAGTTGATGTGCCCCTCTTCTGTTTAAATAATAAAGTTACACATTTTACCACTTTCAAGAAATTAATGTTCACGAACAAGATTACATTATACAGTTTTAAAGCATCTCAAACCATAATTAATATATATATATATATATATATATATATAATACTACAGATTTTTATTTAAAGAGTGTCTAATTACTTTTTTGCCCTAAGAATTTTTCTAGTGGATTTGTATTTTTTTTTTTTTTTTTTTTTTTTTAACACAGCTTATTGGAGAAGTCAAACAACAAGAATCTGTGTAATATTTGTAAATTTTGCAGGACTAGTTTCGATGGTGTAACTACAAACTATCGAAACTAGTCCTAAAAATCAATTTATGAATATATGCTGATTCTTATTGTTTGACTTCTCCAATAATCATTATTCAGTGTGCTATTTTAACCTAAACTAACAGTGCATTGGGAAGGAATTCAACATTTTAGGTGAACTGTTATAATTAAATACATTGTTGGCCATTAAGATTGCAACACCAGGAAGGAACGATCTGACAAATGTGAAAATCACATGAAAGGAAGAAGAGGTTGGCATATGCAAATGATTAGCATTTCAGCACATTTAGACTAAGCAGGAGAGAAGAACAACATCTGAAGCATAAAAGAAACCTTGTGTACTGGATTTCTCATTCGAAAAGCACTTTGTAAGGTTGGAATTTGCTCAGAATATCATGTGATGTCTCGATTAAGAAGGAGAAATGCTTACTTGCAAGTGTCGGAATTTGATACAGGCAGGATTATTGCCTATCAGAGTGTGGATTATCGTTCTGTTATATTGCCTATCGCACTAGTTGACATCCAACCACTGTCATGCGAATATGGAATCAATGGGTTGCTGAGGATCATACTGAACGGCATGTAGGATCACAGCACCATCCTATGACTAACCCCCGAGAGAACAGACATATCATGAGGTCAGCCCTGCAAAACCATACATTATGGGCTGTTAGCCAGGAAATCAGCATGTTTACAGCATGCCCAGTATCTGCTCGTATGCTGGGTCATTTGCAGCTGTGTGGACTATCAGAAGAATGACCATTACTTCGGCTTCCCTTGACAACAAAGCATAGAGAGAGACGGTGACCAAATGACTGCAAATGTGTCACTTGGTCTGGTGTGCCAAATGACAAAGCTGGATACAGGAGTGGCATGATGTCGTCTTTTCAGATGAGTCTTGGTTCTGAGTGCAGTATTTTGATGGCTGTACATGTGCTTGGAGTGTCTGAGGAGACCGCACATCGACTGCTTGCATTCGATATCGGCATATTGGCCCTGCATCTGGTGTGTGATGGTTTGGGCAGCCTTTGAGTACACGACACACATATCTCTAGTTCGGATCAATGGTAATTTGAATACAAATTGGTACACATTTCTGACATTTTACGACCAACTATTGAGCTCTATCTTCCAGATCAGCCAAAATGTCATCTTTTAACAAGCTAATGCATGACCACATGTTGTATGCTGTGTTCTGCCCTCCAATGATACACAGGGTATTCGATTGTTGCCCTGGCCTACATGGTCTCCAGATTTGCCTGCTACCCCTCTAAAGGTAAAAGTATAATATAATAATATATATGTGTGTAATATATATGTAATCTAAATAATATATATGTGTGTGTGTGTGTGTGTGTTACCTCTAAATAATATATATGTGTGTGTGTAGGGCTGATTTTAGCAAAGGGCAAGATGGTCCACACTATATGGACAGCCAGATTTAAGGATGGCAAAATAATTATTAAACATATTATATTTCTGTAAAAAATGGCAGCCAATTTTAATTTGCATGTGGTCTACTGACGATCTAGGACCAGCACTGTACTTGATGCTGTTCTTCATAATGCAACAATATATAAAATGTAACTGTTCTGAAGCAGGTAAGGCTAGTGTGCCAAGTGAATTGTGTCAATTGAAATGAAGATGAGTATTTAACGTGTCTCGGCTGCTAAGTTTGCTCTTTATTATGGAGCTATGTTCTACGCCATCAATATTGCTATGTCTTTTTTCATTACATATATATTCACAGAAATCATACAGTAAGGATTCATCATTTGCAATCATTACATATATATATATATGTGTGTGTGTGTTGTTTTACCTTTAATCTGTTGCTCAGAAGGAATTTCGTTATCATCAAGCCTGCCATTAGTAGAATTTGAGAGGCAATCCATTTCTTCTTGTTCAGGACAACCATCTTCAAACCTCTGGAATTTTTGAATGGTCATTGTCTGCACTTGTGTGAGATAAGCAATGAGAGCTTTATGCAGACTTATCACCTTAGGTGATTTAAAGGGCAAGGCCTTCACTTCATGCACATTAAGTCGACATAGATCTCCTATAGTTTTAATATTTTTTGACAAGAGAAGACTTTCCAAACCCCGAACCCTAGATTAAAGGAAACATAAAGGTCAAATTTATGTTTGAAACAAGAAATATATCCACATAATTAAAATAAAAAAATACTATTAATTAAAAGTGCATTTAGTATTGTTTTTTAAAGTTTTTATTGATAAGATAATAAAGCTTTTATTAAAATTAGTAAAGATATAAAAAACACATTGCTGAAAAAGTGAAACAACAAAGATAATAATGATTCTATATATATATCTAGATATGAATCTATTTTAATAATATCATTTCCTCTAATCTGATAATGAAATAATCAGTTCCAGTTATCAACAATCATGGAAGAATTTGTTTTGTATTTAAAAATTAATATTCATTAGCATTTATAATGCTAAATGAATATGTACCAGTACTAACTAACCGTAAATCACAGAATTTCAACAAAATTAAGGGGCAACACGTTTATAAAAAATGTATCAACCCTAAAATCACTAACTGACAGGTACTCTAAAAGTCTTTCCTTCCCTGTTGTCATTTTCAGTTTATCACACTATATAAATACAAGATTATAATCTGTTAAGACAGAATATTTTAATTTAATATAACGCTTAATCTGGCCATAATTTACTCTAAATGGTTATGATATGATTCTGATCGAAATTTTCACAAGAAATGAGATTAAATGATTTTACATACCATGTTGGTGAGGTTAAGTAATGCAAAATATTGGAAACGCTATCTTCACAATTTATCAACACAGAACACACTGGCAAATTACTGAATTCTGTTAATGAATCTGAATCTTGAAATTCAGAAGAAGAGGGAATATCATCTTTTTCGACTGGAAATGATGTTGTTAAAGAAGCTCTCCTGTTTACCTGCACACACTGTAAAAACAAGTAATGGATAACAAAAAGTTAAATACAGATTTGTTTAGTTACAGTTATGATGTCTAAATATTAAATATATTATTTAATATTTTAACATTCTATAGCAAATTTATCCAGAACCTCCTCCCCACTACCAATTTTTAACAAATAATTACATTGATTATTCAGTTCGTTTTCTGGTACGCGTTCAATAATATTCAACCTTTCCCATTCCTTGAACACATTTTGATAATCATCGAAAAATTTACTACATCTGAGTTTATAGATCATCTTTTGATACCTTTTCCAGGATAATTTATTATCGGTTAAATATGTCGTATCACATTTCCACGGAAGTTCTATTTCATATCTTCCATCTGGAAGAATTTTCATTTTATTCTCAAATTCAGATAAATTAAAACTTTCATTCATTTTAACAGTTTCGTTTGGAGCGTATATTCTATTTTTTCAAGTTCCCATAATTCATTCAGAGGAATTCTCCTGACATGCATTGAAAATGTTTACAAAATATTATCTTTTTTACCCGAATTTTGTTTTCCAAATACCGTCCACCCAAGTTTCGTTTTGACAGCCGTTACCCCGGACTGTAATTCAATAGAATTTCCGTCAATAATTTTCCTATAATATCTGCTTCGATTAAAAGGTTAATTTCAGTTTCCTTTCGCAATGGATCAGAAAATTCAATTTCTTTTTCTTTTAATTCATTCAAAATCTCTTTATTCTTAACCTTAGGAATGAAACCGCAAATCCGTTTCTCAGAAAGTGCTTCAAAACTACATGCAAACGTTCCTTTTAAATTGCTGACCTCGACCGAAAACACTTCATGTTGTTTAGGTTTCGTTTCGTCCCCCCCCAAACAGTGCACGTATAACTGTCTCCTCCCTAAGTGGAGATGCTTTAAGCTGACTCATCATACTTTCACTAACGTAGCTACTTTGGCTTCCGCTATCAATTATGCAGCGAATAATTTTCTCACGACCTTGACACCGAATTCGAACGCAAAGCGTTTGCAAAAATACAGTTTCCGCTTCTGCCACAGTTAGAAAGAGAACTCTCTTTTGAAACACGTATCTGATCGTTATTTTTTAGCTTTTGATTACACATTACATCAAAATGATTACAACTTTTGCAAATAGAACAACTTAACTTACCTTTCAAAGGACAAAATTTACTAATGCGACTCGCTCTTTTCAGACAAGAGAAACAAGCACATTTTTTCAATAACAATTGTTGTTTTTCAGCTAAAGTCTTTTTTTTTTTTTTTTTTTTTTTTTTTTTGCGGAGTAACATTTTTTTACTAAAATGTTTCTTTTCACAAAAATTACATTTCTGAACACTCTTACCTGAATTCTCAAGACTTACTAGAGCTGACGCTGTTACGGGTTCATTTTGCTTTACCTGTTCGTGGTTAAAGTCTTTCTTCCGATGGTTCTGTTGGGAAGCGAAACCAGTTCTTGCAAGTAGAACCATCTCTTCCCCCTTAACTTCCTGTTTTAAGAAATTCATTAAATGTTGCAAGGTTCGAGTCCCTTTAGTTTCAATGGAGTCGTGATTTCTGCTTCTTTCCCATGCCATCAGTACTTCTTCTGGTAAGCAACTGTTCCACTTTAAAGGGGGTAAAAAAATCCTCATATTTTTCTTGGGTTCTCCGCCAAACTTTCCAACGCTTGCAATTTTCCTTCTAGTTCATCATACAGGGAGGGTTGATCAGTTTTTGCTCTTGTGGTTACAGCGTTTTTCATCACTAGGCTTAACAGGTCTCTCACATAGATTTGCATAAGTAAATATTCATGCCCAAAGTGTTCTCTTAGTTGTTGCGATGGCTTTAGGATAATTAGCTGCCGTTGCCGGGAAGCTAAGGACTAGGCGTTCTGCTTTCGATTTGGGTTCTATGGCCTGCAATAGATACTGCATTTTATCTTCATCGGCGATAACTTTTGTCATCGTGGATTTTCTGGAACTGACTCCAAAAAGTCAGGTAATCTTTATCTTCACCACTGAATTTTTTAAGCTCAATTTTAGGCAATTTAAATTTCCTAGATTTGGAGTTACTTGGGAGACAGGAGGCTTGTATTCCCGCATCTATTTGAGCACACTGTTCTAGAAACTTATCTCGGTAATACTCTTCTTGAAAATCATCACTAAATAATTTTTCTCCATCTTCAGTCTGCAAAATCTGCTGCGATATAGCACTCTGGCATATGTCAAGTCTCTGGAACTTATCACAAAGTTGACACTTCAAAATAGAAAGTATTTTTAAATCTCTTACTTTTTTAGTTGATTCACTTTCAGTTTTCCTTGAGTTTTGCAAAAACGCAATTCTAAGTCCTCTTCTTTGGGCCTTTAAAGCGATCAAATCCATCTTCAAAGTATATTCAAAATCGAAAGTTCAATCGGAAAATTCTAATTCATAGCACCCGGTTCCATTGAGGGTACCACTATGTTGCGAAAAACACAGAAAATATATAAATCAAATATATTCAAAACAGTTCGTTCGGTTGCGGGCTGCCTCTACCCTAGGCTGGGTGCATTATGAATAAAGACACAAAATTCTTAATAAGCCATTCTTTATTTTCATCTAAACAATATCACTCTTCCGAGATCAGCTTTCGTTCTGTGTACAAGCAAACCATTCGAAAACACTCAGCACGCAGGCTGACGTCACGAACAGCAGCGCCTCGCGCCAGTGATTACTTCAGTTCATTTCACAACAGTGGTTATAATTAAAGTTCCACTTTGAAATGGTCATGAAAGGAAAAGTACCGGACCAAATGGTTATCAAACTCGGGACGTGTAAAGAAGGTTATGGCAATTTATGCCACCAGGGCAAAAATGGCACTGTATGCGATAATGCAATATTGTTAAATGAAATAAGACATGAAAACATCGGTTTAAAATGTGTTTAATCGTTTCCCAAACGTGACAAAGCATGTTCAGTGTAGCGTACAGCATTTTCTGAAAGCAAGTTAAATCCTGTTACTGCATTCTCAACAGCAGTTCTTAGCATATCAGGAGGAATGTTACGGACATGTCGGCATATCACATTTTTCATTTCTGCCAAATTATTTAGATTATCACCATAAACAATGCTTTTGAGATAATCCCATAGCCAAAAGTCACAGAGGTTGAGGTTTGGTGGGGAGAGGGGAAGTGTCGGCCTATACGACGTTCTTTCGTGAAATGTCGCCTAAGTAACTGTGCAATACACACGAGGTGGTGCCCAGCCCTGCACAAAAATCATAGTATCTAAAATGCCACGTTACTGTAGTTCATGTATCACGAAACATTTTAACATTGATTCTAAGCAAGCTGCAATCACAGTGGCCCAGCTGTCGACTGCTCTTCAGAGAAAAATTATTCAGTTCAGAGAAAAATGGTTCATTGCAAACCTAGCTGTCATTCCATTGACTTCTATGCAATCTAGAATGCAGTAGGAGAATGCAATGGAACTAGGTAGATAACCATGAGGGATTTCGATTTCTTTGGCCCAAATCGATTAAAAGCGTTTTGAATCAGTATCCTCATGTCTTAGGGCCGAATTCAGGCTTAAAAAATTACAAATTAGCTAAACCTGTAAGAAAACGATTTCCAGATTGTACGCACTTGTGCGAGTGATTTGCGATCTCACATTTTCTAATCGCTAATGGGGTTTCACGGACGAAATTTTTCCCTTACACGGATGAGCAACTCGTTTTTATTGAACTTTACTTTACATTGGACGTATGGCAATTCAACAGTTAACTTCACAATGTCTTAAGGGTTTATGGACTCGACTTTTATTGAATTTAACGCCTTTTACAAAAGGGCAAGTTGATTAAGCCACATATTAAACCTTTAAAAGATAATGAACCCTATTAAATGTGTTTAACAATATTGCATACAGCACCATTTTCGACCCCCTGGTTGTGAGGTTTCGAAATTTCTTTTTTTTTGCGGAAAAAAATAAATTCCCACGACCTCCTTTACACGGTTACCAAATTTGATAACATTTGATTCAGTAGTTTTTCTTTTATGACCGTTTCAAATTGGAACTTTAATTATAACCACACTGTACATTATTAAATTTTAATTTGAAGCTATGTGTTATATGTATACCATGCGTAAAGGAAGATTTCGTTTTATGGAAAAAATAAAGAATTGAAGCAAATATAGTTAGGATAACAGACCAAAACTGAAAAAATTTCCCATTCCTCTGAAAATAAATTATTGAAACTTCGACCTTGAATTTATTGCAGTTTCGAAATATTCAATTTGACTTTTCTAAGTCCTAGTTCCCACTACAATTCCGTCAAAAATTCTGAATTACTGAAGCTGAAGTAAAAGGTTTAGTATATATTCACTGTATGTTAATAAAGTAATCAGAGTTTAATAAAAATAGATTATAGAATTTACGCTGATGCAACATTTTTGCCTGAATGTACAACATGTAATGGAAGAGAAGGCTTGTAGAGATCTGTTTTTGATATGCCTCTAAAAGTAGATGTCATACTCCTTTTGTCTCTTCAATGTCAAAAAATTTTCCTTTGAGAGGCAACTTTAGTTTTTGGGAAAAAAAAAAAAAAAAAAAAAAAAAAACACAAGACGACAAATTTGAAGAACATGCAGGACGGTTGAGTACACATACATATTTTTGGAACAAGTGGTTTTCCGATTGGTTATTGAATAATGAAAAGATGCATTGTCATGAAATACAAAACATTTGGAATACATTTCCTGACTGAATAACGTAAGATTAAAAGTCATCTACTTAATTCACAGCCATTTACAAGTCAACTACTCGGGCAATTGCAGAATCGTTTTGATCCTAAGCCTAATATCACTGGATTTAAACACTTCTTTAATCTTCCGACAACATTCCTTCTTTAGCTCATATTCCAAGAATATTAAGTGAATACAATTATTGCAAGAGAAATTGAATATTCATTTGCACTACAGCTTGGTATTTTACTAACGAGTTAACAAAACTTAAATTCTGCTTTTTGTGTCTAAGAATACAACAATATTTTAAATATTCACAAATAAAATATTAAATTGGAGATTTAATTGGAGCCTCACCAGTTGCTTAGCATTTGAAGATTGTTAAATACTAATTGCTTGTTGCGAAGTCTAACCCAGGCTGCATGGTTCGTTTTTGTAGTTTTCAGGGTTCTCTTTACAAAGGTTCTTTATGAAAGCATCTTAACCAAATAGCTCCCATGTTCTTTCTATGTTCAAATAATCTAGTTTAAGCACGATTTCCAAGTGAAGTTACTAGCAAAACCCGAATATTCAATAAAAATCATGTAGCTTGCCAATCAGGAGTAACATGACAGATACGGCGCCAATAATTGAATTGTTGTTACGGTACACTGTTTCTAAACTTAGATGGTCATTCCTTAATTAAATATAATTGATTTGTAACTTCTACTAGAGCTGACAGTAAGAACTGAAGTGCAAATAAATAATATCGTGTGCAATCTTGATTAATATAAAATTAGAAATATTTGCATTCAGACAGAAAGTTTTTTGAAGTATTTGCAATTACTTTATAAGAAGGATTTATTAATAACCATAATAATTACTTATTATATTACCGAAGATTAGAATTCAGTTCTTGACAATTACATTCTAAATTAGAATTTTAAAGATATAATGAAAATACGCTATGCATAAAAATACATTTTTGGATAAAAAATGAGTTGATTTTTTATGTTTAAAAACTTCTTAAATTCATTTCATAAACATTGCACTCTTGTTGTTAATTAAGTCCAGAATGTTGGGTGTCATTTATATAATTATTCTTACTTGTCCACAGAACCTGTTGACTTTTCCAACCATTAAGTAGCTGCAGATCATTTCTACATAACCATTGAACTTCGTTTAATTCGGTCTCTAGAGGATTGTATGTTTATATCATAATTTGACTTTTATAAAAATGATTATTCTAAATCTTATGTTTCTATAAAAATATACTGTGCTTTAAAAATATGGATGATAGTATCAGCCGCTCTTTCAGCCACTTCATAAGCAACAGCTTGTTTAGAAATAAATTATGTAATTAATATCATAAAGTATTTTCATAAAATTCAAATAAACATCAAATGAAAGTTCTCAGTTTTAGACAATTAGATTTAAACGAAGTTAAAGTAGCAGACGATAAAACGCCGAAGATAAAAATGTACTGTTACAAATATTTTTATAAAAAAAGAAAGAAAGTGAGAAATTTTAAAAAAAAGTTAAAAATTTGAATAAAATCATCTATAATTTTAAAAAATAGCTTTTCATATAGTATTAATAAATATTTATTACGTATCATCGAGGGAAAAAATTTCATATAATTAATTCTCTATAAAATCTTATTTGAAATTTAAGGTTAAAAATAGTTGTGGCAATTCACTGTAACAAAAATCCATAAACCATATTTGGCGTTATTATCGTTCCCCCCCCAAAAAAAACGATGTCAAATTTCAAAATGCAAAAATATGTAAATTCGTGTATATCTTAGAAAATTTTGAATACTATAAGTGAGTATTTCTGAAACACTATAAGTGAATAGCACTTTAAAATAAGGAGGGGGAAAAACTAAAACAATATATTATAAATGTTATTCAGTAATTTCAAATACACACTCCAGTGTAATTATAATATTCAACCAATGAAGTCAATGTAATTAATATCACAAATTCTACTTCATGCTATAATATGAATGAAATCCATGTTAAGAAGGGAACAAGAGCCCAAAATTAGGTTTGCTTTATACGTACTTTCTGGCTTTGAAAAACATGCCAATTGAAAGAGGGAAGCATAAAGGTATTTCATGGTCAAAATACACATAACATTCTTTATCCGTTTTGGTAAAGGCAGTGTATCTGGTTTTTATTTCAATTTTTAGTCTCATAAAAATATATCAACAGTGTACTAAATTAGTGAACAATATACTGAATGAAATTTCCTTGATTAATAAATTCCAAAAATAACCACAAACAACAGTAAATTCTTATAAAATATTATCTTTATGTAACACCACATTTACTCATATACTCTCCCCACATTTTGTACAAATTTCAGCATTTGAAAACTAGGAGGAGGAAAAATACATGAGATTCTTCTTCCATTTCTGAAAAGATGGCTTAAATGATAAATACAGCAAATTAAAAAGTGCACATAAAGACACATTAAAGTTATTATATTACACATTTTAAAGAATTTATGAATTTCAGAAACATTCTTTTTACTTACACAAATATTTTCTTATTTACGCACACATTTTACATTGTTAATGTAAATCAAAAGTTTCTAAATCACATGCTGAAAAAACCAGGAAGAAAAGTATGCAGAGGGGAAAAATATGCGAGTAATTACAGTATACATAAATACAATGACATAACCAATTTTAATCAAGTTTGTTTTACGATTTATTATATTACACACTGTAGTGCTATAAAAATAATATAAAATCCATTTTACAGATATATTAATATACTTTCTAAGTGATTTATACTAATCAGCACAAAAAACACCAAGGAATAAGAAATTCAATGTTTATACTTTTCCATGTCAAGGAAAGAAAACAGCATCTTTTTTAAAAAAAGTAATGAAAATGTAATATGATTAACAGCACACAATAAAAAAAGAGAACTACAGAAGTATAGAAGGGGCAAATTGTAACACATAAGTATGGGTTCAAAAATAAAGAAAGATGAAACAAATAATAAGACATCAACTAATATCCATTGATAAATTTATAGCTGGTATGAAGGTTACAGTGAGGGATCCACAAATCAGATGGATGATCCATCATCTGAAAACACACATGGGATTGCAGATCATCCCCAATCCCATTGGTAAGACCCACATAACGCTAGAGGGCGCTGAGAGCGTCTTGGTTGTATTCAGTTAGTTGATGGAAGATCTGACGCAGTGATGATGTGAGATTTCTGAGATTGGGATATTATTATCTTTAATTAAAACAATTTATATTTTATTGATTGCTTAATTGAAATTTTATGTAATACTATGAACAACCACATATTAGAAAGTTGGATTACCACTGAATCTTCAAACCACTGATGCACATTTCTCCCCGCTTAAACTCCCATGGAGTTTACACCCATGTTTGTTATACTGATGCAAGAGGAGGATGCAGGTGGCGTATGGTTGTTATTACTACAAGAAAGTGAGATGATTGATAGTGCTGGGAAAGTGCGAGTGGCTTTATTTCAGTATTTCACTAAGTTACCTGAATGTAACTTGTAGATGCCAAATCAACTGATATGGTGGTATAACTAGGTTTCCTTTCACTGATCAATGGGCTATGACTTTATTTACAATATTTTCATATTACTGACATGTTAACGTAAACATCGAGTCAGCTATTTTGAAGAATGAGTTTCACACTGTAAACATTACCACATGAAAAAAAACAAAGTGATTATGAGTTTCTTACATCAAATAAGAAAAGAGAAGTATGGAATGTATGGAAGTATTCTTCCAATAAACACTTAGTAGCTGCTAAATTGTTCAACCAGAAATGCTTTACTCGTTTTATGAATGAACATCCTACCGAAGAAATACTCAGCACTGAAGCATATCCAGTGATTGACATAGAAAAGCTCAAAACTGAGCTAAAACTATTCTATCGTAGGTCTGATATTCATGAATACTGCAAATTAACTGAGCTACTGAAATTTATCTTGGAAAATAATGTAGATGATGTTCTTAGTGAAATTATGAAACTGATAAAAATTATCTTGCCACTGGGGGGAAAAAATACTACATCAGAGACAGAATGCTGTTTATCAACAGTGAAAAGAATAAAAACTTTTATAAGGAAGCACAATGAATTCGAAAAGACTAAATATGCTTGTAGTGTTTTCAGTGGAGAAAAATTTCCTCAGTTGTCATCCAGAGGTCAAGAAGAAAATTATTGATATTTTCGGGCAAATTAAATCAAGAAGAATGGATTTCATTTTTAAATGAATAGATCAAGATTGGATTGTAACAATTTAGATTAAAAACAAATAAGAAATGTTTGATTTTGTTCAAGATTTTATCAAGTTTCTAAATAAATTTTCTTTTTATAGATATTTGTTTCCTTTTACTCAATTTTAAAATAAAGGTTAAAAATTTTCTGGAACAGCACCCAAATAATTTTAGCTATGAGCCACCACTGGTTATTACAATAATTTAAATCTTACATAAGAAACTTGATCTCAATTTACATTTGACTTTACCTCATTCTTTGGTGTTGCAAAACAACTTTGTAGCTTCTTAGGGCACCCTCTTGCAGGCATCTTACGTGACTTTTTTGCATAATTTTCAACAGAAACATCATCAAGAAATTTCTCTTCCACCAGAGGATCAGCAAAGGTTACTCTTTTTTTCTGTTAGGTGTAAAACACAAGAGAATTTTACAAATTCTAAACATTGTTTCTTTAAATTCTACATCATATCTGGAATTAATATCAAAACTATTGCTAAAGTAATAATAAAATGATTCCTTTGAAATATACCATGCTTTAAATGTTAACCAAAGTTTTGAAAACATAAACAACCTATTGCCCTGATTATAAGATAGTATCTTCTCCTTCAAAAAACTTTCTAAAACATCATATTCCTCCTTATATGCCCAGCATAAAAAGCATAATAATATAGAAGACCTAAAAAATTCTGGACATTTTAGAATTGGGGAAAACATCTGTTAATTAGAAGAGGCTTAAAACTCTTATTGAACAACTATATAAAGAGAAGGTATGCGGCAACACAAAAATACAGGATGAGTCAAAATTATGTGAACAATATTAATTTTGTTTCATTTTCTATTTCAGGTTGTTAGTATCCATGGCTGACAGATTCACAATGGAACAGAGAAGAGTGGTTGCAGGCTTAATGTAAGTTGTGCAGTCGGCGATAGAAATGCATCGAAGGTTTGCAGAACAATTTCCAGATATACAGACAACAGCTTGTTTGACAATTTATCGCATTTACCAGAAGTTCATAGCAACTGGATTGCTAGCAGACAATTATCATGGAAATGTAATGCAAACTAGAACTGGCTTAAGTGAAGTAAATATTGCTATAGTGGAGGAAGCCATACTACAGAGTCCATCAAAATCGATGAGACGTTGCAGTCTGGAAACAGGGATTTCACAGAGTTGGTTGGTTAGTAGTAAGTTTGTGGCACATAACCTCAAAGATTATCATGTGCCAAACATATGGCTAACAACACATTTTATAGAAGATTTACATTCTAAAATCAGTTAAAATAATGTGGTAATAAGCAATGACTAATGTTACAACAAAATACAACTGAATTAAATCAAAATTATAAAGCAATGCAATGTAATTCACAGATTAATATGCAAGATGAATTCCAAAATTAAAAGCAGGTGAAATCTCAGACATGATAAAAAGTTTAATACTTAATATTAACTTTAAAATACAAACATAAAAAATATTTCAGAGTGAATAACAAAGACCAGTATCTTTTAAATACTCAAAGATATTTAAATTAAAATCTTGTTAAAATTAGATGATCAAGAGTCATGTCAGAACTATTAAAATGCTTCTCATGAAGTGCATTTAAATAAGGGTACTCTACTACCTTCTGACACACTGAAAGAATATTTACAACAAATATGCTCACTCTCATCTTTTAGAAGGTACCTATGCGTAACTCGAGAGCAGCTAATTCTGAGATGAGTTAAAAGGACTTCCTGTCTCCTATTTCAATGAGCTTCCTAATGTTCTACTCTAGGTTTAATATTTCTCAGCTTGCTATGCAGCTGATTGTCCCAGAGCCGCTGCCACTTAAACTGAATCTTATGCTTGATGACAATGTTGATATCTCTGGGAAGAATGAGTCGACTGGTCATATCAATAGCAGACTTTGTTGGGATGCCTGCCAGCTCATTACCTTTTATACCTACATGAGTGGGAACCCAGCAGTAAAGAATCTCATATCCATGGTTTTTCAAGTTTAATTTCAAAACTTCAACAACTACAGGATTCTTGATGTCAGAAAAGGTTTCTAAAGATTTCAGTGAACAAGTCTGTATAGATAATGAACTTCCTTTGATACGGCTTAAATATGAAGGGAAGTGTATAAAAACGTAGCAGTCAATTCAGAGGTCAAAACTGAGCAAATATTAAGCAAACAGATGCCCTTCACACGATCACCAATTACAAATGATGCTCCAACATGGTTAGTTCCTTTAGAGCCATCTGTATATACAGGAATGTACCTGCTGTATTTCTGATGATGATCAAGGAAGAACTGTCCATAAATGATGTTGCTGGTAATTTTCTTGTAAAGTTGATGGAACGTATCAAGAAGCTATATATGCACACTCTTCCAAAGCAGAATTTCAAAATGCTTTGATATACACATTATGCCATGTTCTTCAATCAATAGGCGAATCCTTAAAGGGAAAGAAGGCACAAAAGATGGCCATGCCACAAATAAAGGTCAACACATATCATTGAGCAAAAGCAGCTTGCATGGAATGTTAGGCTCTGATAATATGTTGAAATACTGATGAAGAAACAACTGTTCACGCCTTAGTTGGAGGGATGGTTCATAACAGTCAACATATAGGCTCTGGATAAAAGATGTCCTGAAAAACAAAAGAACAAATCTGCACAACCTTGATGATGGATAGGATATAGTTTTAACAGACCTGAAGACCGAATGGATCCATAAACGACTGAGTCATATAGTCAATCCTGGAACAGACAAGTGCTCTATAAATGTGCCGCAAAGAGGAATGATCCACACCCCAAGAGTTATTCGCCAGCACTTTTAGAAGATGTAACACCTTGAAATATTTCTTTCTCAAGTACAGGATGTATGAAAGGAAAGTTAGTTTATGATGGAACAACACTCCTAAGAACTTCAGTTTGGATGCAACTAGAATCAAAGATCCTTGAAGAAGTAGCTCAGAATGAGGGTGAAGCTCCACTTTCAGCAAAAGTGTACACAAAAGGTCTTCTATTTTGAAAATATAAATCCTTCTTTATCTGAACATTTTTTAATTCTGTTAATAGCAAACTACAGTTGTCTCTCAGCATGTCTCATATCTACACCTCAGCAACTTATCTGGAGATTATCAACATAGAGACATCCTGACACGATTGGAGGAAATTCCTTTAGAACAGAACTTAATTTTAAACTGAATAAAGCAACACTAAGAACACAGCCTTGAGGCACACATTCTTCTTGCACAAAGGTATCTGACAAACTTGAGCCAATCTTCACCTGAAAAAACCTTGCCCTAAATAAATTTTGAATGAAAATAGGTAAATTGCCATGTAAGCCACTGTCATGAAGATCATACAGAATAAATACCATATCTCCATGCCACTTATATAAAAAAGTACACATATAAGATGGTTCCTTTTAACAAAAGCTTTACAAATGGAAATTTTTAAAAGGAGTAGGTGATCGACTCTCCTATTCGAAAACCACTCTGATAGAGTGAAATTAGTTTGCTTTTTCCAGGTAACTGACAAGGCAGCGGTATATCATTTTTTCAAAAAGTTTGCACATGATACTGATAAGGGCAATAGTACTTGGAGAGATTCTTTGGGCCTTTTCCTGGTTTAGCTATTGGAATGACAACAGCTTTCCCCAATGCACTGGGAAAATATGCTCCTTCCACATGCTATTATAAAGAGCGAGGAGGGCAGTCGGTGATTTATAGGATAGATGCTTCAGCATTTTGTAACTAATACCATCACGACCCAGACAAGATTTATATGTCTATAACAAAGCTCTCTTTAACTCAAGCATGGTAAAATCTCTATTATAAAGCTGAGTTGGAAGAGTTGAAAATAATGGGAAATTTCTCAGGCGATGCTTTGCAGAAAGAAATGAAGGCAGGTAATTGTTGCCACTTGAAACAACAGTAAAGGTGTCACCTATGATATCTGGTATTTCTTTTGCTGCACCGATCACATGGCTATCTTTCCAAGATAAGAGTAGAACACTGGCAGATTCTGGCAGAAATGTCACGGATGCAGTCGGCCATTGTTAGTTAAACTATTTTCAGTGATGAAGCTACCTTTCATACCAGTGTTAATGTTAAGCATCATAACAGTTTTCTGGGGTAATGAAAAATCCACATATCGTTCGTGAGCATAAACATGCATCCCCAAATGTGAATGTGTGGTGTGTCATGACCACTACTAGTGTACCTGGCCCATTTTTTTCATAACCCCAACAGTGACTGCACATGAGTACTTGCAGATGCTGAAAGAGGTTGCCATTTATAATATGCCCCCTACAATTTAGATGAGAAGGGTATTCTCAACATGATGGTGCACTGTCCCATTTTGTTCCTACCGAACATGCTCATATTTATTAAACGTTCCCAAACCGTTGGATTGGTCACAATGAACCATTGTTATAGCCTCCCCAATCTCTGGATCTCACACTCTGTGACTTCTAGTTATGGGCTATGATAAAGGGGTGTGTATAGTACAAAAGTCAGAGACCTTGAAGAACTCAAGGACAAAATAAAAGGTGTGATATCCAACATTTCCCCAGAAAGGTGTGTTCAGGCACTAACTTGTACTGTTGAACGTTGGTTTGAGTGCATTAATTGTGTTGGTGGTCAGATTGAGACTCTATATAACGAAAACTCTGAGTAAATGCTTTTTCTTAAATAGTATTCACATAATTTCACTCACCCTTTATATCCAAGTTATTCCTTATGCAGGTGCATCACCTGAGATGCTTGCCTACAGCTTCAAATTCAGGCTCTGGTCAAGACATCATCTAAATAACACATTTCTACAAAGTTTTCCTTCCAAAAAGAAATGCAAATTTTAAGTTCATTTCTTTCTGTGGTGATAATATGAAGTTTAAAAATTGCTCATTCAAGATGGCATTTGGCTGCTGTTTACAGCAGACACATAATTAAGTATACATAAGGATGTGGAGACTTTTAAGAATAGACAGAAGTACTGTGATTGACTGCATAGACATCCTTGGCTTGGAGAGCAAGCTTCATTAAAATGACTGACCATGAACAGGTATGTGAATGCCTCTATTTTCCTACTACCTTATCTCTACATGACAAATGGTTGTTTTTCATCATCAAAAGGGATGATGAACATGGCCTCTGTGCCAATGGGATACCTGCCAAAATTGAAATCTGAAAAACTTCAGAGATTTTCATGCTGCGCAGCATTATCATTTCGAAGGAAATTCAGATTCACTTAAATTCACTTTGTAATGCATGATTCAGATTAGTGAATAATTTCTAATCCCATTCTGATATAGAATATATTAGCAATTATTTACTCAAAAACTGAATTAACTAATAATTTAGTAGAAGTAGATTAAACTGTCCTCAGAAAATTCTAAAAATGAACTGCAATAAACCTATCAAATTTTAAAAACATAAAACAAAAGTTAAAACAGTCCCACACTATTTTGGAAAAAAAAAAAAAAAAATAAAGTGAACTTATAAATGATATTAAAATTATAAAATACATTTTAGATTATTCATATTTCTTGCTCCAGACTTATTTCTCAAGAGGTAATAATCTGAAACATTAAAACCTGAATAATCATAGAGTAAATAGAAATTACAATTAAAAATATAAATTGCAATGGCATAGAAAACTAGTCAAATACCATGTCAAATTAAATTGAAAATACAGCGGTCAATTTAACGATAGAATTTAAACATACTAAATATTTTACATGAAAAATTACTTAGTATGAAAGCAAAGGTTTAGATCCCTCCCTCCAGTTACAGATTTACATCTAAAATATGCACTCAAAATAATCAATAAGCATCAGTCTTAAACAGAGTGCTGTTTGACAGAACCGATTCAAGCTCTTTCTCTCAATGAATCAATGGTTCTTCGGTACACTGTGCGACACAGTATCATTTCCTAAAGTTTGTTTATTGTATGTCTTGGTTTTCCAAGAACTGAGTGCTACACTTGTCTCACATACACATTGTTTAAAACAGAGAGACAGGTGGGTGAAGATAAAAGAACATTAAGGTGTTTTTGTTATCTTAATCCCTAAACTGCATGAATTCAGGCATTAGTCATTTTTTAGTTGAAAATTACATATTCTAGAAAAAAGTTTGAAAAATAAATAAATAAATAAATAAATAAATAAATAAAAAATCAGTCCAAGATATCCACTAAGGTCATTCCATCAGATTTTATACATTTAGAAGTTCGTTAATGTCATATTTAAGTTCAATATGAAATTTGACAGGCCCAGAAAGTTTGTTCAATATTAGCCGGATTCGATATAGTGGGGTTTGAATATATATGCATATTAAAATATGTGTAATAAAGCACTTAGCAATACTGATGTTATAGAAAAAGTGATTGCACAGATACATAGAAATACCGATGGCTTAACACAGACTGCATAGAACATAGAATGTTGAATCCATAATGAATAGGAAACTGGCACCTGAGGCAGACTGAATCTTCATTTTTATTTCAGTAAATATGTTGCAGCGACAAACAATCTGGCACACTACTTGTTCTTATTTCAAAATGTTTACATTTTTTATAGCGTGCCAGTAAGAAGAGAGCAGCAGGAAGCAGTCAGCTGCGCCGAAATATAGAAAGCAAGTGCAGTTGAAATGAAATATTAATTCAAAGTTAAATTTGTTTCTCAATGTATTTGATTATATAATTAATACTGCTGTAAAGTTATTATTGGCTGTTTTAGTTCCATTTACATCACCAACGTTATGAAAGAGTCATATAACATGGATTAGTTTTGAAATGATGCAATCCAAAACGAGATTACTATTTTTAGAATAAAGAATCATAAGCATCAACGGGCTATTGCTAATTTAAAGTATATCTTACAGATATATATATATACAAATGAGGCTTCTGAAATTATATAAAAAATGAAAATATTTAAATTAGAAAATGAGTATTAATATATGAATAAAATATAATATAAATGTAAAGTATGTTCAAGAATTAGTTTCTTCCTGCCAATTTTTCAGCGTTTTTCTCATTCTGGAAGAAAAACTTAATAATTCTGCCTACCACTGCAATATTGATGCAAATGAACTTGTCTGAAGTAAAGAAAGTGAGTTCTATAGACTTGTAATACATCTGAAGACAATGGATAAGTTAATAAGCCTTACAAAGAAAGTTCTTGCAAGTATAATGATGGGAAGCTAGAAAAAGTATTGTACTTACTTAGAAAATGAAAATTGGAAAAAAGATGAGATAACAGAGAAATTATGGGAGTCTAATCATTTCTACTGATGAAGAGGATGATGACTTCAATATATATACGTATACAGTCAAAAGTCGTTAATCCGGACTCGTCGGGACTTCGGCGATTCCGGATTATAGATCATCAGTTTGAATCTGGTAAGATGGCATGCAGAAATTATAAAATTAAAAATATGAAACCGTAATTTACGAAATAAGAACAATTATGATCTAAAGGGTATCAAAATTTACAAAAAAAAAAAGCTTAATATTTATTTGTTTACTTTATTAAACATTTCTTTCAATGTAAGTTGTTTAAGTTGCTTCGTTTTTTGTGCAAATACTTTCTCTTTAATTCTCTCTTCTATAAACAGACATAATTTCTTGTTCAGTTACAAAGTTCCACAGTTCAAATCCTATAATTGCTGTGTCGAGAATACCGACTAATTTGTCAACCGAAATTTTTTCGTTTTCAATAACCTCTGTGTCACTTTCTTTGCTATCGGAAGCAAATTATAATGACGAGGAATTTGATTTAAATCATATCAAAGACGGAGTGCATCGAGATGAAATACTACATTAGTAAGGAATTATAAGCCAAATAAAATAAAAACATCTGCCCTGAAGATAAGGATAGTGCTGACAGATCAACTTCCAATTCATTGTGTGCCGCGGCACCCCCCCCCCCCACCACCACTGCAGAGCAGCGTGAAATTGTTAAACAGATTTCGGAATGGTTAGATAAACAAAGGATTATGCCTTTATCCATTTTTTGCAGCAATTCCACTTTTTGTTTAATGGATTTCGAAACATACTTTCGCTTTGTAGATCCTTTACATATTAGTAAATATATATCAGAAATTCTATTTGACAAAAACTTGGCAGGAATGTGCTCTGGCAATGTGACAAGGGTAGGTGCACTATGCGCATATGAGGTGTGCAGCTGGGAGAGTTTAAAAGCATGATTGCTCGTGCCATAGGGCTATTCAAACAAATCTGTCAACTTGGATAGGCAGTATTCTGACTACAGATGCCTCTGAGATGTAGCTGGCAGCAGTATGGACAGTTATTGGACTTTGAGAAGGGGTGTATCGTAGGCCTCAGAGAAAAGGGTTGGTTGAACAGGCGTATCGGCCAGTATACTGACTCGGTCAGTATTGACGACAATGGATCATTGAAGGGATAGTCTGCCATCACGGAGGGTCAAGAAGTCGTCCCAGGAATAAAAATTAGCATAATGATTGTGCAATAAAAAAAGTATCCACTTCCTCACCAACAACATCGCTAGCACCAATTCAATACCATTTACCACCTTCCAAGCATCTGGTGGTATCAAGGGAAATCATTCAGAGATGACTGGCAAATACTGGTATATGCTGTTGATGCCTACTACTGACCCCACATCAGACAGAGTCGATTAGATTTTGGCCAAAATCAGGCAAACTAGAATGTAACCGAGTAGTGGTGGTCAGGCCAGTGGTCTGATTTGACATTTGTTGTCAAGTAGCATACAGCGATTACACAGTGTGGTGAGCAATTTGATGGGACACATAATCACCTCTAGTCATCCTTCAAGGCATTACGACAGCTTGCAGTTACGCGGATGACATTTTAACTCCAATTGTATTGCCTATGCTATCAAGTCACCCAGGTGCCATTTATCAGCAAGACAACGCTGATATCAGAAAGAAATGTTTAATGTGTGACTGTGCCTAGTTACTTGATCTCTCGCCAATAGAGCAAGTTTGGGACATACTTGGAAGGCAACTGCAGCCATCACAGAATATTGATGAGTATACTACTAACTGATTGGTAACCTTTTTCATGCCATAACTTCTTAATAAAATGATCTTTTGTTCTGAATTTGTAATAATTTATCTCCTCATACCCTACATACATGTTAAGTTTCGTGATAGTGTTTTTGTTTTGGGTGCACATATATATATATGCAAGATAAAAATTATTAAAGCAAACTTCTAAATTTAATTCACTATAACCTCTTTTATTTTCTATTTCATTTGGAAACTTCATCTAACTGTCCTAAAAATAGTGCTTAAGTCTAAACTGCGTCATTCAAATTACAATCACCAAATTGTAAACCATAACTAAAAACTGACTGCCTCCCTTCTTTCTATGAACTGATGTATCACTTTCGCTTAAGCTTTCCACCTGGCCAGACGCTTTGCAGCTACCTCCTTTGTTCAAAGAATATGTGCTGATCTAATAAAAATGTAGACTGCATGAGACACTCGTCCGTTTTGAATCAAATAATGCAAATCCCAACTTGCTTTCCTCAATAATAAAGTTATTTCCGGACATTTGCCTTGCCAAGTTTCTTCACTATTCATCTATTACGCCACTGCCAAGCTCCAAATCATTCATTTTATATCATGTAATGCGTACCTGCTGCCTAGAACTCCAATCAGAAAAGTATCTGCAAGTTCATTGTTCTTAAAGTTAGATATCATCAAATATGGTACTTACTTCATTTTGCTAATTCTTCAGAAAAAATGCATGGAACTAACTCCTAGTGCAGTGCTTCCAAAATCTGTGCTTTCATTACATATATATTTTGTAACAGAGTGTTATTCAAATAAATTTTAGCAAAAAAATAAGAGATATGATCATAAAATTATAATCAAACATGTTAATTATAAGCGTATTAACTTAAAGTACGTAAACTAAAATATTCATATTAACCTTAAGTTCAAAAAATAATTTTCTGTTACTTCTGAACTGTTTTCTGTACTTTTAGAACACTGGAAATAAACAGGGATAAAGAAATAAAAATGTAAAAAATCCCTATTGTATGATTGATATTCATTCACCCTATTTTGTAAATAAATACTTCCAAATGACACATGCATATTTTAGCTCATGGCCACAGATGTGACAGTCAAAGTATACTAAAATTTGAAAATAAAAATGAATCTCTATACGTCCCAAATTGCACTTTTCAGCATTAAAAATATAAAAATTTTTACTGCATACTCACTTTTGAAGTAACAACATTTACTGGACTTTCTGAAGTTATAACAGCTGCACTGCTTGTTTGAAGATTATTTTCTTCGGATGCCTTATATAACTTCTTACGAGAAGCTGTAATCATTTTAAAGCTTCTTGTCTGAGGTGAGAGGCTGGTATTAAAATATGTATTAAGAGTTTTCATTTGATCACTACCCATTTTATTTTTTACATGCAATAATGTCAATGCTGTTGTCTTGGGTGACCTATCATGGGATGCAAGAAATGCTTCCTTTTCATGAGAATCTGAAGTCGTAACAAACTGAGTCAATGGTGACAGTCCTTTAATAGATAATACAGTCTTTTTACTTTTGCTTTCAGTTTGATTTCCCGGAGTCAAACAATAAGCTCCTTTTAAAATACTCGTAATTTCACTTGGCTGCATATTTTTCAATGTTTTGATCTCATTAACTTTTAATTTAAAATTTTTCTTTGTTATAAGTGGAGCAAATGTTTTTACTTTATGTGCAACTGTTGCTCGAACGGGTACTTTCTTTTTCCTTTTTTTTGAACCTTCCACTTCCTTAGACACTTCGTTGCACAACCCAGCAACTACAATTTGCACTTGTTTCTTATTTACCTGAAATTGTTGTAAATGGTTGACCTGACTTTCAGATGGAATAGATGAACTATTTTCAGAAAAAAGTCTGGGCATTTCATTAATACTGTTATGAGTTAATCCATCTACTTCTTGCAAAACATTATTAAGCAACATTCTGATCTCTGGTAAAATTACCTCACTTGCACTGCTGACAGCTTCATTAATTACACTGTCAATTTTCTCTTGAGAAGACATATTTCCAACAGGCATTTGTAAGAAATTATTAAATTCTTCTGAATTCTCTTTCTCTAAATATAACTGCCCAGATTCAAAGTTGGTGTGTAATTCACCTGGTTTCACACTTCTTAGTTTCATATTTGAAGCTTCAGCTGCCTCTATTTCAATCTTTTCTTTCTGCGATTCATAATCTTTTCTATCACCTTCAGTATTTCTAATCTGGAAATCTTCAACATTTAAAACTGAAACAATATCCTCACATTTTTTATCAGCAGAAAAATCCTGAACCCCTTCATTTATCTCATTAAAATTCCTTTCAAATTCGGTTGATTTTAATAAGGAACCAATGGAGTTTCTTCTATTACATGTTTCAGTCTGTATAGTAAAGATTTCCTTAAACTTTTCAATGAGGTGTTCATTATTAGAAGGCATTATATCCAGCTTATTTTTATCATCATTATGGACAGATTTTTTGGGTAACTTTTCCACCACACAACCTTTAGATGTGACTTTGTCAATATCAATTGAATCACATTCTAAATTAGAGAAATTATCTCCACTATTTCCTTTGGGTGCTAAATCGGGCAGTGTCGAAACAAAATCTGTATTGTCATCTTCTTTCTTAGGCACAGAATCTGAAATACACAATTCACTAGCTTCTTCAAGATCAGAATTAGTAGCATCTGAAAGATTACCTTTCTCTGATTGTATAGCAGAAGCTTTTGTTATTTCGGATGATTGTATACCATCTTCTACAATACCTTTCTTGAGGGAAGAAATCAAAAATTCATGAACATTGTGCATTGGTGCAGCTTCATCAATTAAAGGATTTTTAGAAGCAGTATTAGATTCAAGTTGACAGACAGATTCCACATCAGGCTGCTGAACTAGATTAGCTGAATAAGGAATATTTTTATCATTTTTATTGCACAATATAGCAACAGAATGACAACCTACAGAAACAATGGAGTTTGGTTCAACTGGATCCTCACTGCTTTTATTACAGATATTTTCTTTGTTTTCAACTGCAACTTCAGAAACTTGAAATGAATAACTATTATCTTCTATTCCACAACTTTTATTCTCTGTTATGAATGATGTCAAGCCAGAAGCCTTATCATGTCCTTCAGATTCTGCTTCAAGAGTCTTATGCTCCCTAGCAACTTTTGTGTTAAGGATTCCTTTTTCAATACTACCATTTATAGCTAAGATTTTTATATTTTCAGCTGCTTTGATGCATGAGGTCATGCCATGAGATCCATCTTCCAACTGGCAGTTAGAAATTGTATTTTTAGTTATACTTTGCAAGTTCATAGGTTCTTCAATGTTATTATCCAACATACGAGAGTCTTCCTTCTCACACTTTTCCATTGCTAATGATGTCCTGTTTTCAATACTACCAATTTCTGTTAATTTCATAAAAGACATATCTTGCCCATCGTTATTAGGGTTCTCTGCTTCTTCAGCGTCACTTTCTAGCATGGGAGTTTCATCAAACTCAACCTCCTTTGAGACTGATACCTCTTTCCCACACAATTTTTCTGAACTGATCTTGGGAATGCTACTTACATCTTCTCTGCATGTATCCTCTATGTCATTATCAAGCATTGGGGTTTCGTCAATTTCAGTCTCTTCCACACTTAATACTATGTTGCTATTATCATTATATTCTGGCTCAATTTCAACAATTTCATTTTGCTTATCTTCACATTGGTGTATCTCTATAAGTTCATTAATGTTGTCTGAAATGGAAACATCATCAGCCGTAATCTTTTCCATAGTTAAGGGAGCATTATCAGCAACACTATTCACTAATTTGCCATCAAAAGTTTCCTTTTCAGATAAGGCTTTCTTTTTACTTTTTGTCTTTTTTCTCTCACACTTTTTTTTAACAGTTAATGATGGTATATGTTCTTCAGGTTTAGTGTCAAGAATTTCAACAATATTTTCATCATTCTCATCAGTGCCATGGGAATGTTCCTCTTTAGGGACAAAATGATTAACTGCAGCGTTCTTTGTAGTTAACATTAAGTTAGGTTCAATACATTTGGAATTCAGAATTAGATTTCCTGTCTCATCTTGGTTATCATTAATTTCTTCTACTTTTCTACTTAGGATAGGTAAATCATCTGTTCCTCCAATTTCAGTATTTTTTATGATTTTTTCATTAGTTTCTTCACCACAAACGTCTCTTTTATTAGTAACAGTTTGTACATCATTTGCTGTAACTCCTTCTAAACTGGTTGGCTCATTTTTTTTATCAGGGAATTCATCGACTTTAAATTTTTCTGAAGAAATTTGTTTTACAGTATTTTCAAGAGGTGCATCTAATTTGCAATGCACAGATGGATTTGATGCAGTATCTTCGTTTCTGCTAGAGCTTTTCCTTCGCGATTTCAAATTTGTACAAGTGCCTGCTGAAGTCTCAGTATATTCCTTTCCTAATTTTTTATTATTACTCTTTGAAAGACGCCTAGAATTTTTAATACTAGAGCCGGACTTCTGATCTTTACTCATAGATCTAGTTTTGTAAACAATACGCTCATCATTTACATTTTTCTCACTGACAATCTTTTTAACAGATGAATTTGATTCCGAAACTTCTTTTTTAACATGTGCTTCTATTTTATTTGTGCTAGTTTCAAGTGATTTTTTGACTGAGGAATTCAATTTGTTTTCATTCACAAAAGCTAAGCCTGGGATTGATGAAACAGATTCCTTACTATTACCATCATTTAGAACTTCAAAACATTCAGTTTTGGGTTTATTCTCATCACTTATTTTGCAATTTAGGAGCTCATCAATATTGTTTATTATTTCTTCAGGAGCTGCAGGATCTTTAGAAAGCTCACTAGTCTTTTCAGAAGATTTTTCAACACTCAACAAAATTTTATGAGCTGCATCTCCAACAGATAACTTCATGTAGCTTTCGTTTTCTGAAGAATTTTGAGAACTAGGGATTATTTCTTCAGAATCACTAATTCCAATAACTTCAATGTCTGCCTGGTTGAAATTATCTGAACAAGACCTAGAGGAAAGCCTATATTTTGCAGAACTACAGGCTGGAACTTCATCAGGTTCAATTTTTCTTTTTCTCTTTTCTGAGCTGCTTTTCAGTTCAAAATCTGAAAGAGCAATGGTATTTTTTTCACTGCTGCCAGCATGGTTTGTCAAATCATTAGTAGAATATTTAATTTCTTGATCTTCATTTGGAGTATCATTAATAATAATCACATCACTGGATATCATATTTAGTTCATTTTCATTACTTGATACTTCTATAATTTTTTTCTTTATATCTGGTTCAAGATTATCTTCACCATTTTCAACATTATCTCCAGTAAATATTGTTTTTTCTTTAGAAGTGCATTTTGCATATTCCTATAGGAAAAATAAATAATTTAATAATATAAGAATAATAAAATCAATAAAACTAAAGGTAAAACTGTTTTATGCAGCATGAAGGGGAATATATATTAAACTACATATTATAATTCAGGAGGGGGGAAAAAAAGAGAAAACAGATCACATAATTGAATAAACCATTATTTTGAAACCACAATAATTTAAAAAATAAATTTAAATTGCAATTAGCAACTACATCAATTATATAAAACATAGACACTTTTAAGAATGGTTAAAATAATACTATTTAAAAAATCCTACATGAAAAAGATAATACATAAATCAATTATAGAACAAACAAAATTATTAATAAAACAAAATAGAATAATTGTTTTAAATCAGCCTTTTATATTTGAGCATTTAATAAGATAAAAATTGTGAAGTTATATTTTAAAATGAGATACCTCAAAGTAATTTATTTTTAGCTTTTATTTAACCCTTTGAATGGGTATTATTATATTTAGTTAGCAATAAAATCCTTTTCATTATACATTAAAACCAGAAATCCTATAGAATGTAGCTGCTAATTACTTACAGAGCATTAAGAGAACATTAGATGCATGCATTAAGAGAGTGAAGCTCCTTAATAATATTTTGAATAAGTATTATTTTACATCATAAATATAATAAGTAAAATATATTTCTAATTCCAATAATATATTGATTACAAAATTTCCAACTTCTTTTCTCCACACTATCATTTGCATCCCAGATAAAGCTGAATGTTGATGATGAAATTTTGTAATAACATTAAGATTATAATCATCTCTATATATCTTTTTTTTTTAAACTGTAATATACATTTGAACACTTTTGCCACAATGGACGAGATTTCTCATCTTCCAAAATTCTAGGGATGAGATAACTAGTCCTCTATGCAACTGTTCTTCTGTATTGTTGCAGCATGTCCAGAGACTTACTTGTCAACTTTTCAGTGCATCCCAGTACATATTTATTATGTTTTCACAAATTTGTACAAGATGGTACTAATCACATGGATCGTTCATATATACTATCTAAGCAACTTTTCTGATTCTGGCTATAATTATGCAAAAAATCAACTCGAACACATGAAGGTTATACAACAGAGACATAATGGCCAAGAGGAAGAACAACCAACCAAACAGCAATAACAGGGATATGGCCTCTCCCAACCTGAAAGATTGCAATGCACCAGCTGTCCGCACTCAACACGAGATTATCTACCAGTTCTTGAGGTAAGAGTACCCATTCTTCAAGAAACATCTGTTTCAGTTATCTGGTGTTCTCCAGAAGGTAAGATCGTGTCACCAGGTATCTCCTTAAAATACCTCACACATGGTCAATGGGATTGAAATCAGGAAAGCATGCTGGCCAATCAATTCTGTGGTTATCTTCCCTTTCCAGGAGCTCCTCAAAAGCATGAGTCAAACATGACCATGCATTGTCATCTACTGGAAAAAAAAAAAAAAAAAAAAAAAAAGTTGGGGGCCAATGGCACTTTGGAAAAGATGCACATGAGGCAGGATAACTTCATCACAGTAACAATCTCCAGAATGTGGAGCTCTGTCTGTTCCTCATAATGCCTTCTTATATAAGCATGCCAGGACCAACCCAATGGCCTCTTACCCTGATGGATGAAAGCATGTCCCTGTCTCTTTACAAATCAACTTATGCCAAGAAACATTTGTTAGACTGAAATGACTCTCTCATCACCAAAGAGGACATGACTTCAGCTATGAGGTTTTCAGTCTTTGTAATTCTTTACACCACTGCAAAAAGGTGCTGCCAATGGGCTGCTGTTAATGGTATGCAGTGTTCAAGATGGCAGGTGAATAGGCCACCATTATTAAATCATCTGCCCACAGTAAACCAGGACACCTGTTGTCCAAAAGGCGTGCACAACTGCTGAACAATGCAGCCCGCTGGTTTCAATCTGTTTTCCTGTGAAAGGCAATACATCAGTAATCAGCCATTGTTGCTGAGAGCTTGTGAAACAACACCTTTATCATTTCGAATTTCTTGGGCAACAGACATCAAATCACACTTCTTCTCAAGCTGGCCAATTATTCTACCATGTGTCAAGGCACTCTGAAGTTCTCGTTGCCACACTGTGCATATAATCTAACTGTTACTTGCAGGTGAATATCTGAAAATGTACTTTCCTTTCTTTTTTTAAACTGTGTGCATGCGAACTCTTGTTTTTGCATGTCTTGACATACCCTCTGACAGCATGGAGTTGACATTTGCACATGCGTTACCTTTTTACTTTTCATTGTACTGATATAAAAATGCCCTTTTTAACAATTTGTTGGTTGCATGTTGCAAATTCAATTTGTTGCTCAAGTTTTTAGTGGTTTATGTACAAAATCAGGTAGGAGAGAGATGAAAATATTGCTGCACAGGATTTTATATTGGGCTAGAAAAAATAATTAGAAGCTCTGCATTTGGTGCATGGGATGGGTTTTGCTCACCCTGTACATTATTGTCAAGTAAATAGTTTTTAAAATATTATGTCTTTTTTTTTTAACTCTCTAAAATACCTATGAAATGATACTGATCTAAAAATTATACATTTAATTCACACAATTTACATATCAATAGAAAAAAGTATGACTGAATATTCATCAACAGTGTCATTAACAACTGAAAAATATAAATAGCAAAATAGGATAACTCCAATATAGTTTTATGTATTTATTAAGTGCAGTTTTTTAATGGAAAAAAATCAATGATTATAGCTGATGCCTAAAATTAAGCACTTAAAAATGTAATATTTTGCTGACTGCTTATGATATTCCTCTCATAACAGATGCTAACAAGTTGAAAGTGTTAGCTCTCATAAGCTGACAACAAACAAGTGACTTAGAGGTTCCTAAGAAGAGATTTAAATTTTTCTCAAGTCAACATTTTCAATTAAATGTAATAAAAATATTTTAAAACAAGGTTGGTTATTATACACTTAAAAAAATTATCACACATAGAATAGAGTATTTAATAATAATTATAATAAAAAAAAATTCCCTTTGCTAACTTGTGAAAACAAAACTTTAATTATAACTATTTAAAACCAGAGTTTGGATATGGAAGCAGATGACACTAAAAACAGAAGAAATTGAATTAAAAAAAGAACAGTTGGACATGAATGCAGAATGATAGTAAGTAAATCAAAAGAAGCAATTAATTTTTTTTAAATCTCACAGCAAGGATAAATGAAAGTCTAAAAATTAAAAATGACTGCTCTATTATTTATATTTAAGCTTAAGAGATGATTAAAATTGAAACAAATAAATATATACAAATAACAGTAATTTTACGTAAGATAAATATTGAATTACCAGGTGTGGATCAGAATCTGGAAATTCAACTGATGAACAAGCACTGGAAAAAATAATAAAATAAATAAATACCAAGATATCAAGATTGTTAATTAAAAAAAATTATAAAATTTTATCCAATACTGTAAATATATGTGTAGCTGATGTCAATACCAGTCATAGTCATATGAAGTATTAACATTCATAACAATGGCAAAATTTGTTAAGTATGACAAAGCAAATAAGGGCTATTTGCTTAAGGGAAGATATGCCTTGGTGGAAGTTTTTCAAGGAAAACTGGTTTGTATTCATATTACACAGGAAGTAAAAATGATAAAATGCAAGTACATACATCAAAATGTAAGGAATAAGTTAGAACTAATAAGGATTGAATTCAGTGTTCTATATTTGGTAATGCTTTAGAAAAAAACTAATTACCAATTTTATTTCTACACTTTTTTCAATTAACTAAAAAATGTAGTATTAAATACTTTAAGAAATCTAAGCTCATAGCAACAGAGACATTTAGAAATGACTACTTAAGAAAATCTATTCTTTTGTTTTAGAATATAAGAACCTAGCTGAAAGCATTCATTGTTATAAACAGTTTTTCCAAGATTGAAGACTCTTAGTATTTGAGTTTTGATTTAAATACTCTATTTATGTAGAATTTCAAAAAGACTACATTGCTATAAATCTTTAAATGGTTGTTTATAAACCAGCAGGCTAAAATAAATAAATAAAATAAGCTTTTTGACTTCTTGACAATTATGATCATGAAACATCATAACCAACAATTTACCAAAGCAAACTGGCCACAGATTAAAAAATAATATATGATTCCCTTTGAAATGGAAATATCACTTTTAGGGATTATATAAAGCTAATTTCATTAAAAAAAATTGAGTTCTACTGTTTCCACGAATGCTAAGCTGAAATCCATTCTTCTGAATAAATGTTTATCTGGCACAGAAGATATTTATTAGACATATTGATTTGAAAACCAAATATCTGTAACTGTCTTTAATAGTATCCGTTTATTTAATTTTATTATATTTTACATATTTTCCTCCTAGATATTTTTTGCTTATGGCACACATAAAAGTTCAAGCCTTGAGTATTTTCCCTAAAAGTGTCATGTGACTTATAATCATCGCAGCCTGGAAGCCTAATTCGTTTCTTAAACTGAAACCCTAGATTTAATTTTGATTCAACAAATTAAATGGTTAGTTAACCTTTAACTGCTGTGAGCGGTCTTTCAAACCGCACAACATTTTCCATTAAATGCTTCCACCCCTTAGAATAATTAATGGGTATTGCCATTCTTAGTACCTTCCTAAACCAGTTGTCCAAGGTCACATACCAAGTTGCATTTGGCTAGCTCTATTTCTTCTTTTATTTTTTAAAAGTGCCCCCCCCCAAGCGGTCTGTGGGACCGATCACAGCAGATACGATTCAAATTTCGACCAATAAAGTTCACTTTTCGTTTTTGTTACATATTCCGCTTTTTTATAAATATTCTTGAAATGGCTTCAAATGCGTGCAGGAAACTTTCTACAGGGTTCGTACACATTTCTGCACATGGAAATTAAGTACTTTTAAGGACTTTTAAGGACCATTAATGAAAAAATTAAGGACCTATGAGCAAATAGCAAATTAATAAGTTCAATTAAAAATACTATCTATGCCTTAACTTCACTTTTGTAATACCAAAAAATAAAATAGATCCCTACGTAGGATGCATTATTATTAAATATAACTTAATTAACATAATTATTAGTAGGTTTGAGTATAAAATATACTTTATGAAATTTATCAAACAGCATTAAATATTTTACACTTATAATAGTTAAGCATATCTGAAAGAAGATAAGTGACATTTTATTTATGTTTTACTAATAGTTATGTTTAGTTATGTTTCATGTTGGATTTGTTTTTTTTTTTTTTTAATGTCTCATTACTTGCTCAATCTAGAGGTTTAGTGAATAGCCAGGTAGATTTTATGTCAAGCGTCATAGGTTAAAAGGAGAAGTAAAATCATAATAAGAATGATTTACAACAAAAGACTGGCTTTTTTCACCGCTGTTCCTTGCCTAAAGACAGACCTGCAGACCAGAACAAAACTGAAAGGCCTAATGTGGGCACGGTTAGCTAGTTTTTAAAGTTAGTTGGGCTCTCTGTTGGAGTTAGTGTCGTAGCTCCGTGTAGAGTTCCAAGGATTAAAACCCAGTTAATATACTTTAAGGTGTCGTAGCTCCGTGTACAGTTCCGGGGATGTAATCCAGTTAATATACTTTAAGGTTCCAATAAGCCACTAAAGCACCAGAGGTGACACTAAGCTGCTTTGTATTATTTTAGGTCTCACTAGATACGAAGAATAAGTTTTACATGAATTTTTACATTTTTGTGTTTTACCTTGGACCACGCTAAGAAATAATGAAAGGCAATAACTCTCTTTAATAGGCACAGATAATTTTTAAGGGTAAGCAGTTAGTTATAAATTAAATTAGATAGTTAGATAACCTTAGTCATTATGGATTTTTACATGACCACTATTAGATTTACCTATTTTTTAACAATACTGTTAAAAGTACATTAAAATCACAATCTAATAAAATTTCACACTTTAAAATAAATGCAATTTATGTCATTTGATTCATCAACGATATTAGGATAATTATACATTAAAAGCTACAAAACATTTATGTTTTATAGCAACAACACTCAACAAAAAAATACTTATGCTTCTTTTTAATTTGAAGCTTGGCCAGAAATTTGGTTAATTTATATCGATTTCCTTCTTTTTAAGCATCTTACTAAGAATTAGAAAGTTCTCTCAATATGCAAACCAATGTTCTCATTAGTTTCTGTGTGCTTTATCTCCTAAATTGTCAACCTCTCCACAATGTACTTATGAGGGTTTCACTTGATCTGGTAAAAGTTAAATAATCCAAAACTCCCGAAAGACGTGAAGCAAAATTATCGCTATGTCTCAAATAACTATAAGTCAGACAAAGGTTAAATAGCCTCTTATTTAAAAAGACTTAAAGGTATGTTCTTATGTAACCAAATCAATTAAATTGGGGTGATGTAATTAAACAAGAACAATCAAATTCAAACAAAAAATGTGGACTAGTGGTCAAAGACTATAGAATTTAATTTAATTTTAAGCTAGCTAGGAACTCTACTGTCATAACAAATTCAAATGTTGGCAGCAGTAATGCAAAGACGAATAATTACAAATTATCAGAGCCGGCAAGAACTAATGCAAGGAGCAAGTAGAGGTCAGAAACACACTCGTCTTACACTCCAAACACCTCAGTTTGAAAAATGTCTAGGTGATTCCATTCTGGGGAAAAAATACAAAAGGGAAATTATAGTAAAAGCTGAAATTGTAAACAACTGGGTAATTTACATAATAATAACTGTACATATCTTTGAAGAATAATTTTATATATTCAGTTTCTTTTGTCTACATTTTCTTTTCATTTTATAATTTTTGGATTTAATTAAATATTTCTGTTATTCTAAAAAAACCTGAATACATTTAAATGTATAGAAAAAGCTGCTAATTTTATTTTTAGTAATATTAGTAGTTATTCACAAGAGATATGAAATATATATGGTAAGGGCCAGTTACAGAGATTGGTGTGGCAGAATGTTTAGAATTTAGTGACACACCCAGCAAAAAAATGTAGAAATGGCAAAACTTTTAGAATTTAGAGCAGGACACTGGAAGCAGAATTTAAAAAGGCACTAGTCAGCAAAACTTATAGAATCTCCACAGAGAGGTTTAATATTCCACGTGATTGCACTAGGTGGGAAAATGACTAGCGTCAGACCAGTGTATGATGCATTAAGACATTAGATGAATCTTTTAAATTGCCAGTTTTCAACTTCTTTATTAATAAAAAAATTCCTTTCTATAATGCCTGTCCATGTGATAAGAAGCATTTTTAATATTTTCCACACTTGTGTCTAGTGAAAAGTAGAGAAAATAAAGGGAAGATAAGAATGTTATAAAAAAGATTTTACTATCAGAAGTAAAACATTCAAGTATTATGTTTTCGTTGTTCTTCCAGATGCTATTCAAAAAGAAAGAAATTCATTGCAAATGTTCTGTAAAATACATCCATTACGTGTTAATACCATAGTGACATTTTTCATTTTGTCACATTTTTACTAAAATCTTATGGAATCGTGGGTCTATAAATTTTGTCTTCAAATCTTTCTAAACTTTTCAAGTTGCAGTGTCTAACGTCACGAACAAAAAATACCCCTACCAGTTTTGTAACAGCAAACAGGCAGAAATATTTTGAAAAAAATCAGACGAAAAAAGTGTGAAATTAATTCATTAATTTTATAGAAAAAACTGATGCATATTATGACAATTCGGAATACTCTGAGACAATTACATGAGAAAACTGTTATCATGAAAAAAATGGAAAAGATATTTTTAAATTAATATGTTACTTTTTAAATATTTAATTTCAATATAATACCATATTTTAATGAAATTGATCAATGTTAGAATGTTTAAAAAATCGTCGAAAAATTCCCAGCTTTTGGACTTTAAAATTTTTTATAGAAACTGATATTAAAATCGCCAACTTAGATCCGTTCAATAAAAGAATTCACATCCCAAAGCGAAAAATTGTTTAAGAGCTCTTCATTAGAAAAAGTGAAATAATTTCGAAATACTTGTTTCACTTCTTGCTCAGAAACTCTAATATCCAACCACTTATATTAGAAATAGGAACAAATCATAACCCATTCAAATAACCATATTTATCAGTGAATTGCCAAAAATATACCTCCAAACTGCTAATTCACACTCAAAATGGCAGTCATAAAAACAGACAGAAATTTCACATGATTAAAATTAAGGACCTTCTGCTGATTTTGGCCAAAATTAAGGACTTTTAAGGACCAAAAATCAATTCCAAAAAACTTAAGGACTTTTAAGGACTCTTAAGGACCGTACGAACCCTGTTCTATATATCTTACCCAAGACCAAATTGAATAAATAGTTTGAAATTGGTCTAATTTACAGTTCTCTGATGA